GCTTTTCAAGATCGTTTCCCTCATGCTATAGGAGGAAAGGATCAATAAAGCAAATATTAGGAAGGTCCAACTCCTTCCTTGAAACGACAGCACTGACGTTTATAGTGGTGTGTCTCTTCTCCCGTAGAGGTTTTCAGGTGGAAATACTCTATTTATCGGCTACACGCATCATCCCTGCTTATTTGTGGGCCGATGAATAAAGTTCTTCTCCTAAAAATCTACGGCAAATATTAGGACCAACTAAGCAAACGAGTTAATAAATCAGACAAACTAATGAGAAAGGACCGAGAAATGTTGAGGATGATCGTGAAAGGCTTCCGATAACTTCTCAACAATTTTGACTAGTAGTTTCAACGCTTCTATTGGAGGCAAGGGGCTCGATAAAATGGAGGGGGAGAATGGGGAGATTTCGACCGTAACGGGAGCCAGGTTTCTAAGGAAGTGGGGCGAGGCAGGGTTGTTGCGAAGGGTGCGCCTGTGTCGTCCTAACAGGACCTCACCCCTGGCATATTTCATTCCGCGGCTGTCCACGCCCACCCAGCTGTTGGTGTCCCTCGCCTACGGACTCTAACCTTTTGAGCAGACAGACAGGCTGATATCCACGATGAGGATGTCCGCACCGGTGGGAACCGCTTAACGTGGATAAGCGGGGGGGGGGGGCGGAGGAGGGAGGGGGAGAAATATTTTTTGTTTGGGTCAGGCCGTTTCTCTTGGTTTTTTCTTCACTGCTTGGCCGTTTTCGACCACATTACGTACAATGTGCTCCCTTCTCTTGACGAGGCATGAGTTTGGCTATGTCTACGTGAGATATTAACTTGCTCAGCTTTCGGGAACAAACTGACCTTTCGGTAGAAGATTAGATAAGCTCTCACGTACGTACGCATCGCAGTAAGCTAAGCGAGTGAGCTAAGCGGTTGTGAACATTTCTATTTTCACAAGAATGCTGGGTTGTGAACAAAACTTTCGCCCCTGATAGGACTCGAACCCGCGCCTCTTGCTTACCGGGCGTTTGTTACCTCCATGTTCATTTGTTTGGTTGGGTGGGGAAACGATATGCAGTATCAGACGTTCAAACATTTTGCTTCTAACAGCGTTCCGGTTATTCGAACTAATACTCCAAAGGCTTAAGGAATGCATTCAATGCGGCGGGACGTCAATAACTGCTAATCCTAGCTAGCCTTTCCTCAAACGATGTGTTCAAAATCAGCTGTTATACCTTTGACACCTTTACGATGTAGAAGAAACTCAAGCGAGAGTTTGAAGCTTAGCAACAGTGGAAACTTTGTGAGGCATGAATGATTCTTCAAAAAATTCGTGAGATCCCCCCCCCCGACACCGGTCGGATTTTGGGCGGAGTAGGACATTTTCCACCCTTGTGGAGATCTTCAGGGTGTATCAGAAGGTGGCGGGCGGTCGCGATAGCACCGCCTACGAGAATCACAGCAATGGTCGAAAATCTCCTACTCCGCCCAAAATGATGGGCGATGCGAAGGGTGCTTTGGAAGAATGAGACAATCCCGTATAGCGCAGGAGGTGAACAATCCGTAGAGTGTGGGAAACCTGGTGAAACGATAAATTAGACGGCAGGCCACTTTGATTGTCTTACTTGATGTCAGTCTGATCCGGGGGGGGGAGGGAGTGAGGGGCACAAAGAAAATGGTGTCACAAAAGGAAATAAGATGAAGTACTTACCTAAAAACGAAACTTGATCCCTATCGGCTCCAACTTTTCATTTCAACGATACAAGGCAGCCCTCACCAGCAAGTCTAAACATAGTGTTTGGACACCCCTATAATACCCTTTGCAATGCCCTCGTTCCTCCTTTAAATCTGCCTCTACTCCAGACCACGTTCGAAGCAGCTTGTGGTATATTGTGAAATCGTATTCAATTTCTATGCAAATGTAGAGAAACGCTACACAGAAATTTCACAATTGAATTTCACGACGATTAATTCTATAAAAACAGCTCTTTGTTAGCAGCTTTGCTCTGATCCTTCTTCGAACAGGGGGATTCAGTTATGCGCATCAAAGGGTTGACGGACTACTTGAACTCAGCCCTTTACCGCCTCTGCGCTCTCTAGCGGGTCCCTCTCCTCTCCAAGGCTTAGTCCTAGGGCATTCTCTAATCGTCTGTGCTCTAGCCATCGCGGCAGGACCATTGAGGAAAAATCAAGTAGTCCGTAAACCCGGCATTAAGTCGATGAATTATCATCGTACAGAAATCCCATGTAGGGAATATCGATTCGTCAAAAACAGCAAGTAATGAGATACGCTGTGTTGATTGTGTTGTGATATGGAATTTTGGAATAGAATTTTATCACAAGAATGCTGAGCTATAGGCGAAAATTTTTATGCCAACAGTAAATGGAACTGTAGCCACCGCTACTGAGCCAGAGTACACCATCTGGCCATGTTTTTGGGTTACTTGGCAGGTGCATGAAAAATGTATAAAAAGACTCATTGGAAAATGCGTCAAAAGAAACATGTTGGTGGGTCGTTAGGTTTTGGGGAGCAGTGGTAAGCCTTACTCTTACCCGGACCTGGTCTTCGATTACCCGGCTGCAGTAAATGCTTGCAACCCAACGTATGCAGTCATCACTGGTTATTCCACATGAATAACGCTGCGGTCGATAAGAATAAAGAAAAGTCACATATACAAAGTGTATTTAACCCTTTGACGACAATGCGGATTTGCACGTAGCGTGCTCGTGGGACCACGCCTCTTTTTGGCGCGCCCAACTCTCGCACAAAATGGGGCAAAATTGTCCCTAAAAGCAGTTTTCTATCAAAATTTTGACTATGACAATAAACAAAATATGACTGCAGTCTTAAGCTTTATGATCATGTATTGTTGGAATTAGAAGTGGAAGTTTGGAAAGAAATCTCGGATTTCAAAGGGATGGTGTTTGAAAACTCTAGAAGTTCAAATGTACAGTAGAATTTTTGATATAGTTCAAACTCCTCCTTGTGTCTTAAGACTGTGAAAAGACGTAGAGGTCCTGATCTGTAATTCACCTTAAGCTTAATAATGTAAAACACTAATTAATACATCGCCGAGCGAAGTGCCATATCCTAAATTTCATATAAATTAGCTAGTAACAAACATTTCTGCAAAATATGCTAAACATAGGCGTAACGGAGCTTGCTTATAATTACTGATATGTTGAAAATGTTTAAATGGTAAACCCACCATTGGGGCCATAGTTCCCGACGCGAGACGGTCATAGTGGCACCAACGGTGGGTGCCATTTGTCGCTAACCAATACATGACGCTTAAGGAAACTGCGCTATCGCACGTTACCGGGCATTGTGGTAGCAGTGTATTAGAAATTGCGTAATAATCTCCTTTTTGAGTAAGTCGAGCCTACGCCCTGGGCGGGAGATCAGAGACTCAAAAGTGCATGAGCAATGCCATTTTCCACGAGTTTCCCACCTCACCTAGGGTCATTTCTGAAGAATGCCCCAGTACATTGCGTTAGCGCCAAGAATCTTTTTGCCACAAGGCGACTCATAATTTATGCGCTATGCGCTAGCGGTTTGTACCTCAGTTGTGCACCACCTTTAATATCGAAACTGATTCGCGACTGACATGGAATGTTTAAAGGGTAGTGGTGTAATGGCAATTGGAGCTGCTTACAACGCGCTCGGTCTAGAGATCAGATCCTGGAGCACCGAGCTCTACATCCCTTTGGCTTCGGTTACCAGGCGCCAGACTAATATAAGAGAAGAAAAGCACCGGCTTGTAAATGGATGCCCCCCCCCCCGCAACACCTTGCATCGCACAACTCGCCATCGCACAAGACCAAGTCGCCCAAGATGCCATTACGACTCTGCGTGGCGGTAGAATGCATGGCGCATCCTAAAAGAGATTGACCACCATCAAATGCTTCGTCGTTCCTCATTTATTGAATGTCATGCGATAATGACTAAGCGCTTTCCGCACTAAGGCAATAAGTAGACGAAATACGGTATTTTGTAGTACTTACCAATTCTCACAACCCACATGTAGCTCCTTACTCACCAATAACATACAAATAGCGAGAACGACAACGTCAGGCTTACGTACCTCAAGCGGTTCAAGGGAAGCTGCGAAAAAATGCAGATTCTCTGATTAATTATTTCTCTGCAATGATAAGTGAATTGAAATATCGGGGACATCACGATAAACGCGACTTTGTGCAAGCAACAGTCCATTTTTCTCAAACTATAAACTTAGCCTCTGATTCTACAAGCAAAATTCAAAACTCCTTCGAATAAGTTCTATTGTTTAGATCCGGCCCGGCTGGTGGTTCGACCGGATTCGTCGACGGTCATCGCCGACACTAGGATCAGCTTCTTCTGTCGTGCCGATGGAAATCCACTGCCGAATGTTGTGTGGAGAATCAATGGGAAACCTCTCACGGATTCTAGGTACTCACTTATACTCTTTTATTATTTTATTGTTTTTCTTTTATTGTTATTTATTTACTTATTTTTGAATTTTTCTTTCTTTTTTCCGATTCGCTTAAAAACCCTGATTTTATTTCTGATTTTCTGGTTTTGTCTTTATTTCCAACGTCAGTGAAAAAAATTAGCGGGTGCAAAAATTGAACAAGAAGAGCTACTTTGTTAGGCGTTCGTAGGCTAAGAAAACTCTGAGGTTTTTGAGAAACTTCATATAGGACCATCTCTTGGTAGAAGCTCAGAAATGGTTGATTTTTTCTGTGGCTAGAGAGAAATCACGCCGCGCACATTTCGCTTGAATGACAGGTTTGGCGACTGAGTACTGCTTGGGCTATCAAAGCTCTCAGCTTCACCTAGCGGGGAAGCTCAACCGTCGAGCGCGTGATACCATGAACCCACTGAAATTGAATCACTGATTTTGTCGATTCACTTTCTTTCTCAGAGCACAGTTATTTATGACATAGATGACGTAGAACTAGTATATTCCCTATTACTAAGTTGTTCTGCTAAATACTTGTGTGAAAGTTGTAGCTATAATCACTGTAATTATGCCCTTGGTTGACACGAAATTGGGCCCATTACCTGTAAAACCTGAGGAAGAAATAGCTTTGGTAAGAGGCGTCGTGCCTCTAGGGTGCGCATAGCGCTCGCTTGGTCGCTCTATAGACGATACCGCACCAAACTCACGGAAAGCGCGACGCGAAACGAAGAAGTCGCGGTAGTCGTCGGCTGCCTTCATTTATAAAGTTATGGAGGTAAACTGTAGTTCTTCACATAGAAAGTTTATACCGGTAACGTTTTCAATATGGAGACTAAGTATTCATTTAGCACGTTTTTAGACGAAGTCAGATTCAAATGCGCATACCTTGGCGAGTGAAGACGCGTCCTTTTTCGTGGCGTTGGGAAATTAGTTAGCTCAAATACTGAATCTCAAATACGTTATAACCAACAAGGCTAACGGCATAAAAAACCAATAACGATGTGGGATTTAAAAAACTTTTCTTGCTTTCCGATCTGTCTTTCTCTGTCTTCTCTTATTGCTATGTTCTGGACCTTTGCGGTTTCAGATTTGGTTTTTATGCCCTACTATTATCTATTGCTTGTCTCGCATAGCAACACTTCTGAACCCTGTTGGTTATGTGTCGAAGTTCTTAATTTTTAACAGCTTTTTGCCCCCCACTTTTGTTATTTTTTAGTTGTATTTATTTTTTTCTAACCACTGTTAATATTAATTTTGTTGATTTTATTTTCTTTTTTTTATTTTTTTATTGTAAATCTTGGCAACTGGGTCTCTCCACTCTACGAATCGAGCCTGTGCTCAGCACCGACAATCAAACGATAGTTTCTGTTCGGCTGACAACGGTGTGGCAAATCCCGTCGTTGCAGACGCCGTTATAACGGTTCTTAGCAAAGGTACTGCTGAATTTTTTGGGTGAAATAGTTACAGTCATAATTTGTTTATTATTTGTTTACTTAATTTATTTCCATTCCGTTCTTCTATGCTACACTACCTTCCTGTTCTGATAGGATGTCACTTTCCTCAGAGTTTTGATTTTATTCGACTTTCGATTTCGCTGTAGTTTTTGGATGGTTACAACCGTAGTGATTGAGTTCTAATTACGAGGACTTATATAAAAATTAATTCAGATGGGATTCCATCGCGGATTTCCCTGCTGTTGATGCTCATCCAACCCTGAAATCTGTGGAACAAGGACGAACATTCACGTCACTTAGTCGGGAGAGTTCCTGAGTCCTACGTACTTTCTGCATTTTTCTTTCTATCTTAAATGCAGAACCGATGTTTTTAATCCTTATTCCTTGCGTACATAGTTTTTTGTGCTAGCTGTTATTTCAAGCGTTGGTTACTTTTCAGCGAGTTAAATTGTACCATGTCAATAGCCGCAAAGCTCTTCGGGTATTTGATTTGAGGCGGCTTGTCACAGGAAAACCATACTTTCTTTAATCTATCGACCTCCCTAAAAGTCAGCACTGGAACGGGAGCAGGTCGCGTCCGTTGATGTAGTTTCCAAAGAGCAGAGGCCAAAGAGGGAAGGAATGCATAAGCTTTGCTGGTGGGGGAAGTCGTATTTTGGGCTGATCAGGCACGATCTCTCGGAAATTAGAAGGGTCGTATTCGTGGAGTGTAAGAGCATGCTTGAGTCGGGGGGTCGTTTTTGATGGTGTCTGAAGATTCTGGTGAAAGTTCCCAAAAGCGTGAAGTGACAGAAATGGAGGATTGCGTCGTTTTCTTGACATTCTTACTTCCCTCATACGTTCCCCGACGGCATTTCTCAGAATGTGGGCCCTGTGTTTAAGTGGCTTGGAAGCATGCGATCTTGCTTAAGTAAAAAAAATAGCGAAAAGAACATGTGGAGTGGTGTGTTAATTCCAGGCAAGTAAGCTGCGGGAACATTAAATGGTTGACTCGGTTGAATAGGTGGGATTAGTTCCTTCATTATGGCACAGCTCGTGTCCCTGCTCAAGTCATATGGGGCACCCCTCCATCTCGAGATGTTCCCCATAAACGAACGACAGTGGCCCTAGTTGTGAACGACGAGCATAAACAACTTTGCTCTAGCTTACCACCACGTGATTCCGATTGTGCTACTATGGGAGGTTGAGCCGCACCTTGAGGAAACATTTTTTTTGGAGTACCAGTCGAATCGTTTCTTGGTGGCACACAAGCAGTTCTTTCCCTTTTGTGTCAGCTAGTTTGAAATTTTATGGGTATGGGAAAGAGCGTTGTTCTAGATAGCAGCCAGCCGCAGAGAGCCATCCCGTAAATCTTTCAAGCATCTCGTTCAAGTTCGGGTAGAAATTGGGTGCATGGCGCAACTCGAAGGGGCGTGCCACCAGTATACTTCAGTCTTTACATTTTTTGGGCTGAATGTTGTGTTCTGTAAGATGGATAATAGCTACTCGTCCTCTATAGGTTCGAGGAGATCCAAGACCAAAAGTTCTATGGTTACGGGATTTGGTGCCGATCGACATTCGAGCCGATGGACGCTACTCTGTCTCTACTATGGGGAATCCAGGTAGGATCGTTCAAAAAAAGCCATAGCCCTCTTTAAAACCACTTTTCCCAAAATTTGGAGAACCAACGAGATTTTCAAATATTTAGGTGCCTTGATGATCCAGCAAGCTCGAGAGGAGGACCAGGGCAAGTACGAGTGTGTGGCGAGGAACAGCTTAGGCGTCGTACATTCGAAGGCTGCTCATCTTTACGTGAAAGGCAAGTGCAGGACCAAATTTAGGGCAAAGGCAGAGGGTTTGTCGCTGGCTGGGTGCAAATTTATGTGACTCATTATTGTGCGAGTAGCTGTTGCATAGTGAATTGGATTAAGTGATATAATGCGGGTCACGCCTCATTGGTCCGGCCGGCAGCGGTCGAGCCGCAGCTCACGCCGATTGTTCATCCTCTCACAAGCACCACTAAATCCCCACTGACATAGCCGCCTCCACCACCACTTCATGTGCCCCATTGTTTCCATCAGTTTTTACCGCCCTATCGTATATCATTGCCCAACAGGGATCTCTCGTCCGCCTTCCTATGAGTGCTATTTGTCGACGGCTGCTATGATGGTCCTATTTCAGTCTATAGGCGTTCCACCAATAGCTCGGCCATAGGGATTCTCGCGCTGTCGACTATCGCCCAGATCAGCGTCTGTGGGTTTTTGTGGGAGGAAGCGCGACAGAACATTGGCTTTGCGGTCGTTCGACGAGCCGATTCTCATTCTCGCATCTGGCCTTTATGGCTGGCGCCGACTCGGACATCACAAAAAGCCACCTCTTGTCATCCTCCTCTACCAAGGTACCTCATACAGTCCACAGTCCAGCCCGCGCTCTTCTTCTTCCGAACCAAAGATTGTCTTTCACTCGTTCATTAATCAGCTCAGCAGAAGCTGCCGCTGTGATAGATTGCCTTCCCGAGCTCATTTCCGCCTGGATTTTTCTTATTAGAACGGAACCGCGGCGTCCGTAATCGCGCAGAGATCTTACATGAGCCGTTCAAGCCGCTGATCCCAAAACCACACATTCATTAGATGATTCGTCAGCTTTCAGAGCAGAAAATTTCATTTCGGCAAAATTTACGACCACCCATAAAATGCCGAGAACCACGCATCGACGAGTAAAAATCGCAAGTTTGCTAATGAAATGTCCCCAGCTTTGGCCTCATCACTTCTTCTTCAGACCTTTTTTTTGCCGGCATGTTGCGTAAGAGCAACCGGTTTGATGAAGGTATTTATGACGGGGTCGTTGATTAGAGCACCACCGAAACCCTCTCATCGGACTAATTAGGAATCAGTAGTGCTTGAGCTGCCTAAGCCTATTTGGGTGAGATTCCAAAATCCCAGCGGAGCTTGCGCACTCGACCATTCTTAGCTTGACGCCTGATCTTAGCAAATTCTGTCCTTTTATGAATGCGTGAGAATTTTTATTCTATGTAAGCAAATTTTCATCTTCACTTTATATTTCTAAACGGCAATCCCATCCATGAGTAGGTATTTTTTCTACCAGGAAAATCCATTTCATTCTCGAGTGCGATCTTCAGTGACAGTGATTTTTTGAAAAAGCTCCCCTGCCTATAGCTTCAACCACGGCGGAGGCAAAGTAGCTGACAGGCTAGAGGCGCCAGTAAGCCCTTACTGAGCCCGTAGGGTCGAGTTTTTGTGGCGTAGCAAAACGCATTCGGCACTATTTACCTATTATTAATTATTCAGCAACCATAACAAATTGGATTTTTCGAGCAGCATAGCTAATAGGGTTAGAATGGCCCACACTCGCACATTTCAAATCTTTAAGGGGTTATCGACCGGAAACAGAGGAGCTTTACTTCGTGCTTATAAATCATACGTGCGTCCTCTGGTAGAATCTAGCTCTACCGTTTTCAATCCCTCAAAAGGAAAGCATATCCTTGCGCTGGAGAAGGTTCAGAATAATTTCACTCGTAAGTTACTTCTTCGACTTGGTGGCTTCCCTTATGGCAATGTACCGAATGCGGCGACTAGGAACAGGTATCTGGGGCTATCAACTCTTCAATCTAGGCGTAAAATCTTTGATCTTTGTTTAGTCCACAAGATGGTACAGTCTCTACCTGGGTCACGTTTCTGTAATGTTTTCAATATAATGCCCTCGAGAACAAGAGGAGGATCCAGTAAGATTTTGCTCACTCAACCTAAGACTGCTTTGCGTGCCAAAAATTTCACGTTTAGAGCTGGCAGTCATTATTTGAAGTTGGCAAAAAGGTTACCTTTGAACATGTCACTGGCTCAATTTCAGACATTGGGTGACTAATATGCTGCTAAGCTACGAGGTAGAGTATTAGCGTTTTCGGAGACTGACTGCTGAATTAAACCGCCTCTCCATCTGTTACTGTCAGATTTGACGTTATCTTGACTGACTTTTTCTTCTTTTGTTGCTTTATTAGTGTGACGTTATGTTTGATTTCTTTTTTTCGAAGTTGTATCTTGTTTTTTCCCACATGTGCCTTTGCACACGTAATAAATCTAAAAAAATCCCTTTTAAGTTACCCTACTGCCGAACTCCTCGAGCTGAGTCGGTTTCATCCGAAGTTTGACCATGACTGTGGATTCAGCTAGAAACGGCCTGCAGAAGTAATTCGATCCGTAGAACACGATCACGTTCGTTTGCCGCTAGAACGCCTGGCGCTCGGCTGCTAGAGAGCACCGCGCCGAAAAGCTGCCAAACATATCCGGATCACAATTCGCTGGAACATTGTTCAGAGGTCTTGACCTGTATGTACATGAACATTACATTAGATCCTCGCGAGTGAGCCCGTAGCCGCGCTACGGGCTCCTGCGCAAAACTGTTGTGATGGCGTCGGTGCCTGTGGCGCGCCCCGCGTTGTCGCTCAGAACCGGCGTGATATTCGTGTTCTACGGGTCGAAATGCCCTCGGAAACAGCTTTCTAGCCGAATCCTTAGTCATAGACGAATTTCGATCAAAATCCGAGATCAAAATTCCAATAGTTAGTTCGTAGTGGCGTAAGGGTAATAGTGCTGCAGATAAACTTTATAAGCGTACGCACCCTTCAAGGCATGCCTGCAATTTTAAATCTGCCGATGCATGGCTAAACCTGGAAATGGTAACAACTTCAGGTCGAGGGGGGCTTTCTCTGTAATCTTATGCATAGAACTTGGAAGCATTCCTTCGGACTATATTATGGAGAAGATAATAGCTAAACGACTTACTCCGAGTGCACTTTCGATTAGGATCGCGGTGTAATGCCCTACATTTCGCCACATCTTTCGCCACCTAGCAATTATGGCACCCTGGGCAAAAATTGCCAGGAAAGGATGTCCATACCCTAGTTCAGGACCATTTCCTTGGACCACAGCAGGCCGAAATCTGAAAGCACCTTAGGAGTACTTCCACACTACACCGGTCCTTATCAGAAGTAATTTTAAATGAATCGATTACGTGTCATGAAAACTCTTATCCTTATCCTTGGTATTGGAGAGCTCAAAAGGGTGCTCCCCCTCCCCCGAACTGGATTTACCAAGAAAATTAATGAAATGGAAGATATTCACATTCGTATATCACTTTGAACAGACCCACATATGTTCTTTAGCTAGGTTGTCTGGATTTTCTCAGGATAAGCCATGAATTTTTAGGTTGCTGAGAATTTCGCAGGCATTCAAAGTGTTGGAACCTCTTGGACACGCCCCATACTTGGGAATAGAAAGATTTTTTGTCGGCTTCCAATCCGCGAGCGTAAAATTTTGAATTCTTCTATTCATGTCACTAGGTCTCGGCTAACTTCGTAAGCTCTAGGACCACTGTCCAGCCGTTTTTACCTATTGATTGGCCTCGGTCTGATTACCAAGCTGACGAACTGTAAATAGGCTTTTAACACCTGCTACAACTATAATTGCTTGACTGAAAACAGTGGTGAGAGTCGCATTTTTCCATGCGTTTTGAAGACATTTGTGTATCTTCTTCGAGTTCACACGCTCCTCAACTTTCCCTCATTGACCATTCGCAATTTGATCACATATACCCGCGTTTCTAGCCACCTGAAGACTTCATACATCCTTTCCGGCAAATTTCGAAGATGCAGAAACGAGGCTCCAGCTGTTTCGAATTGTTTCCATCATCATTATCATGGCCGTATTCATTCCCGTTGATATCCTGCAGCGGTCATTCTAAGCAGATGTCACATTCGTGGCCCATTGAACCGGTTCTTTGAGTCTTCCGTGGCAGATTTGGTCCATTCGATTCTCGTCGTCGTCCATAAAACGCCATCGGTTCTGCGCTACTTTTAGATGATTTACTGGTAATCCGCTGTGATGATGCGTATTGTCCTGTTGTGGCTGCTGTTTAGAAGTGTCAGTGCATTTCTTGGCAATACGCTGCCGTTGCATCTGTTCGCTGTCGAGAAGAACACCTCGAACTATGACATTGGTTTGTTCCCAAATGGGTTCGATCGGGACCCTAGGTCACCAGAATTTTTGGGAGATATCGGTCATTCAAATGAAGTGAAAATTGACTTTTCAGTTCGTCGCGTGCCACCGTATTTCTCCTACAAACTCGAACGAATCTATCGGGTCGGCGCCGGCGGAAGCGTGAATCTCACGTGTGTCGCTGTCGGATTTCCCATGCCACGAGTGTTCTGGAAGAAAAGCGATGACGGTAGGCAGACTTTCTTGAAATTCAGCTCGACTTCTTATTCAATTTTATGGTTACGTTGATTGTTGTTTGTCTTATTTTTTTATATTTGCCTACGTTATTCGGGAAACTTTTTTTTTCGGAATATTTTTGTTGATTTTTGGACTCTAATTCGCGGCAGGCCATTGGTTTTCCTCGGTCCCTGGTTAGTGGCTCACCTCAAAACAAACCCAAACAAAATTGAGCAACTGCCGCTTACATGTAATTTTTTCTCATTTGTCCGATTAGAAAAAAATAGAATGTTTCCAACGCTGTCCAATCACTACGATGAGCCACACCATCCACTTCTATTCATAATAGTAGAGGATTTGAATGCGATATGGCCTATACAATGATTTGCAGAAGCTAAGCGATGTACTAATCATTACGTCTATCCTCCCATACAAGTCGAGTACTAGCGCCCATCCCCGGAGGGATGGAATTCTTGGGTGATCTAGGCGAGATTCAAAACAGAATTTGATCCCAGGAACGTACGTGGAAACTACAGCTACTCTACCCTACTACACCCTCAATCATTATTAGACTCAAAAGTACTTCGTAATCGGTAATTTCCGCAGACATGACTGTTTTGCTTGATAAATTTGAAGACACTTAGGATGTGAACCGTGGGAATCAGCTTAATATAAAACCAAAGCAATACCCTTCCGTAGAGCAGCCAAAGGTCAATCCATTTCCGGACTCAATTTCGATCAGTTACCTGACTCCTTTTCCTTATGGTGAGATGTCAAGGTCCTACTTTCGTTAGTTATGGCAATACTTGTATGCTTCTGAACCCTACACCCACACGCTCCCCCATAATCCAAGAAAAAGCTTTAACTATAAACTGCTTGGAGAGTGAACTTATTTGTTATTCTTTTCGCATCCGCAAAAGACACTTCCTCTTCCTTACTTTCCCGCGTGAGTGGCTTATACTAAATCGGCCGAATAGAATTCTTCTGATTATTTACAAATTGCTAATCGTTTTCTGTCGATTCGCAGCACCAGACTTGGAGTCTCTGGTACAATAGCACATAAGTTTATGGCATGGTGTGGTAATATGCAGCTAAAAAGGGAAATCTAAATGGTTTTCATGTGGTTGCGAGAAAAAATATCGTTTGCTAGTAAATATGAATAAAGCAAGCCATATGCATCTAATACTACAAATTGTAATGCCAGTTTCGTGAAAATCTGGGAGAAACAGTTCTAAAATGCCTAACAATAACAATTAGTCAAACAGACCTCCCTTTGTCGATCGCTATTGTGCATTATCTTCTTTCAGTTGTACTGAGTGATCCGGCAATGGCACCGATAGGGAAAAACGTGCTCACACTAACAAACATCGAACAGTCGGAGAATTTCACCTGTGTCGCCGTCAGTAAACTTGGAAACATCGAAGCGACGACATTGGTCGAAGTGAAAGGTTGTTCCCTCCTTTTTCCACACAAATAGTTTAGAAAAGGGTTTTCTGGAACAACAAACTGTTCAGCTCTTCCCCCACCTCCTCGGAACTTCAAAGTCTCTTCGGTCACAAGTGACAGCGTCACCTTGACCTGGGAGGCTCCGACGTTGGCTGAACCGGCAATAGAGTATGTCATCAAGTACCGACAAAAGTACGTTCTCTCTCGAATTTTCCTTTCCATGCATGAAATCCGTTATAAGCCTTCAGTTGTTCTGCAGTGTGCATGCGTTTTACTTTCTAATGTTACTTTCAATGTGTGTGGATTTCTAACATGGAATTTTGAGGTCCCAATCTCGTACTGGAGGCTTCTCCACAGGGTACGTTTGCAGTGTTGTGGTGATTGTAGCATGAAATTTGTGACTTTAGGTTTCTTGGTCACATTTCGTTACTAGGTGGTTTGCCTTGGTTCAAATTTCATGGAACATTTACTTTCTACAGATATGCCGATTCGAACGCGTTGAAGAAGTGGAAAGTGGATCCGCTATTGACCAGCACTACCATCGACCATTTGGAACCGTTTCAGGTAGCTCTAGCTCCTTTGATTATTGGCCTTCCCAAAAAGCCTGAAATAATGAGGATCATCAACCATTTGCAGATGTACGAATTCGTTATTGCGACTGTTGGAGATTTTGGTGAAGGGCCAGCGTCGATTCCTAGGGAAGCACAGACCGCAGCCGCAGCTCCAAGCCCTCCGGTCAAGGTAGGACCTGTAAATAATGAGGAATGTGATACCACTTTGACTATACTCTCAGGTTTCTAGTAAAACCATCTTAGGGGTTCGTAAAGGTTATTCGCATTGGAAG